TGGGAATTATGTTACAAAAAGTAAATTGGATATAAACTGTCCTCATTCAATTCGGAATTTCCAATCGACTTTTGGATTTCCAATAGCAGTTTTCTTTATCGTAATATGGATTCCATTTATTAATTTGCAATCATCTGTTGCAAGTTGACCGTTTATCGTTGATAAGATTGTAGCTATGGTATTTGTCTTCTTGCTGTAATTTTATGAATTTAAGAGTTCATCATGCAATAGTCCTTAGTAATTTTAACACTGACTAAAACGATTTGCATCTATAAATTTAAAACTTTTTCTTATAATTTTTTTTGTTGCTTTTACGATAGGGATTTTACTTTCTTCATTTACTATGGCTATTATGGCTAGTTGATTTCCCCCTTTTCCAGCAACGGTCGTCCTTTCCACTATATTTCATAGTTCGGGAACGGTCCTGGATCCAGTGTAGTAGACATATACTTCCAGTCTGACCATAAAGTTACTGGTGCATTTTCGAGACCTAACTGATTTATTACAAAATGGACAATAAGTATTGCTAATAACTCCAGTCAAAGTATACTGATACCTTTAATTGGTACGATTCAGTATTAAATAAATTAAATATCAAGGACTACGCGTGTATACAGCCGCAGAATAGGCCACAGTTGATGTATCGGTGACGACATGGAGTTGCGCTTGCTCTGAGCAATATGTCACTTTTATGTTTATGTTTGTTGATCATTTGTTTATCGGAGATTCCCACGTTTCTTTGTCTTCTTCACTTCTAGATTGATCCCAAGCATTATTCTTTTTCATGAAATTTGAAGAAAAATTTGGATTACGTGATAATCAGAACGAGGAATCCCATTGGGTCGGATTGAGATGCTCTGAAATGTAAAATTGTTCTTTTGTTAGATCCCTTTCATTCCAGGGTTTAAGATGACTTGGATGACATCCTTTTGGAATTCCTATCAACACCAAGAATTTTCTTAAATAATTTTGCTCATTATCACTTGAAAGAAATTCCCTTCTTTATAATTTTTGAGTGCTTCTTGGATTTCTTTAGTTAGTAATAACATTGTCAACACAGAGATTTTTCAGATTCCGAGATAATTTTTCCTTGAGTTCATAGATGATAGTTGAAAGTTGGATGATGATATCCCTAACCAGAGGAATCGAATGTAATTTCGCTCTGATAGAAATAATTCCAGTTGCATTCCATCATTTTGAATCGAAACAATGCACCTGCTAAATCATTGAATGTAATTAGACCGTGGTATAGAACAGAACATCGTTCAAACTTACCATTCATTCTTTTGAGGTCGGCAAAAGCATCGTAAATGATTCTTAATTTTATTGTTGATTTGCCGATTCGGTGTTAATACTAACGCCAACCTGGATCATTTGCGATTGTCTAAGGTTACTTCTTCAATGATATTGGATTTTATTTATTCTTCAACTATGTTATTGTATCGATTAAGTAGCAGTTGTTAATGTCTTCAATCTCTCAAGGTAAAAACCATAATTATCATTTAGGATAACATTTGAATCTTTCCTAAGTCAAGATGCTTGATATTTTCCATTTTGTTTAATAATAGTTTCTTTGAAGTGCTCAGCGTCTGTTCGTCATTATGAGTATTGGATTGTTCCTGAATGTCTATGAGTTCTAATTTCCAGAAATGGTTTGGTTCTGAACAGACGTGATATCAAATTTGATTTGGTCTTTGTCATAATTAGATATATCCATTTCCAATTATTATAAAACCAACCTTTGTGGGGATTGTATAGAATCCTGATACCATATTGTAGCTTTGGTTTGGCGATATGAAATTAAAAAACTAGTCAGCCCAATAAATATATCAAACCTTTTCCAATATCCTCTTTCCTCATCTAGCAATTCTTGAGATATCATACGTGGCAAATCATGGTGGCTCTATTTAACTACTTGTAGTTTTTCTATTAGGCGATCTAACCGTAAGCATTAATAGGTATACTTTTAGATTCCGAAGTTCTTACTCCTTTTTCCACTTTTGTAATCTGACATGATTTTGGAGTTTTGTTACTAAATGAGAAGAATTTCAAATCAAGATTTCCTTTACTGGAACCTATTAATTGCATAAATTTCTTGGACAACGTCCTACTATGAGAAACTTTACGGTGGAAACAAGGAAGTTTCCCTTTTTTGCAATCACTTGTTGCAATTCTTTCGAAAACATTTGAAACATGTGACAATTCCCCTCAAACGTTCCATACGGAGCTTAAGCCTGAGATAAATGTTACATTCATTATTCCAATGGTCCTTGTTGCTGCTATTTTTTCCCCTCAGATGAATTTCCTTTAATTCTGGGACTTCAATTATGGATGATTTGGTTGAAAAAAAATGTCATCCTTAACATTATGTTTAATTAGTTTCTTTTATGTTTCTTTCAGTCCAATAAATATATCGAACCTGTTCCAATATTATACGTGGCAAATAATGCTGTTAGATAACTTCCTACCACTTCCTGCCAGTAGCATCTGAAACCAGTAACTAAACAAAACTGGCGTGGAATAAATTATATATAGGGAACCAAGTTACTTGGAAGTATCAGGATCATATCAGCTGGAAGACTTCGAAGGTAGCAAAAAAATGAAAGGTGATATTAACCAGCGATTTTGGAAATTTTAGAGCAGCAAAAATTCATTGTGATTAAGAAGCGACAGAGATGAAGTCAGCATGAAATGAATAGGAATTCAAATGCCATGGTGCTCAGTAGCAATTAAGACATTATCGAAAAAAAACGAGATGGCGAGGAAAGAAGAAAATAAGGAAAAAAAAGTGCCCGGAAGACTATGGAGGAAACTTTCCTGCATACTTACAATCAGGTAAGGATAATTTGGTCATTCATAACAGTAGCAGTCTTTTTTTTCCTAGGAGTAATCAAATCTGCTGCATGCGACTCCCACTACTCTGAGTGATCTTTAGTTAATGAGCACACCAAAAGACTTCTTCTCCTTCCTATTTAGAGAAAATCCGGATCCGGTCCAGCAGTCGATAATATTTCATACATAATTCTTACAACCCCTTTGCTTTTCGAAGATGTCAGGAATACCCCCCAAGTACCAAAATGGATACCGGAAATAGAATTTCAAACTAAGACCAGATTTGACAATTAATAACGTTGAACGAAAATACCACTTTTTTCAGATCGACTAGCTTATCTGAAATCTTGAAACCGATGCGTTAGATTTCTTTTTCTGAAGTTAACGAAAATGATCTCTTTTTTGTTTCACAGTTCTATGCAAATAATCCAGTAAGGCAAGATTACTGATCTTGAAGTTAATGAAATTAATTTTTATGAACATATATACCAATAAACTTCACTGAAGAATGTCAAGAATTGAGAGAACGCGGATATTAAACATTTTAATTGCTTGCACTAAAGCATCAATAAAATAAATGCAATATTTATAGAAAATAAACACAAATTAGGGAACACTACAAATGACCCGAGGTTTTAGAACAGTTCATATACACCAATTAAAAAAATGCAACAGCATGAGAAGGCATTTGTGTTTATCAATATAGCTTATTTCAATATTCGACACTGCAAATAAGAATCGTGATTACTCAAAATTGAAGAATCTCACAGTGAATTCATGCGGAAGCAATCACAGATATGATGCATTACGAAGTCTTTTATAAAACACTGCTCTCAATTTCCCACAGTTTATATTTCAAACTGACCCAAACTTCTTTCATATGACAAGTGAAATAAAATAATTTATGAAATATAGAGTTTTCCAACTCTTCATAGTTATATGTCAAATTAGAAAAGTGTTTATAAAAAACAATTTCAATACTGCATTCGTATGAAATACCGCTGGTGAGGTCATATAAAAAGCAAAGTCTGAAATTAAGTTGCAGCAAAAAGTTGACAGAACAATAGGCAGGTTAGAACACAGACCGGGATAATTCTTGTAACATCAAAGTTATTTCTAGCTTTGTCCACTAATTTCCACAATAATGCAAGGTATAAATACTTAAGGAAAGCTATTAAGGCTAAACTTTTTTCTGCCCTAAGCAGTTGAACAAAAATAGTCATAGCAACTAAAGAAATATAATCGGAGACCAATATAAGATAGGGCAAATGTTTCGTTGATTTCGTAATCAATTTCTGTTTTATTTTAAACAAAAACTTGTTCGGGTAAACGGCTTAGTATTCTTCTGCAAAATTATATGTCAACAAAAATGTCTAGTACATCAATTTACGATCAAATTTATGAACATGAAAAACACATAATTTTATGTTTAAAAAAACAACTTTTTGATTAACTAAAATTACAAACATGTTTTCATAATACATAATAAATTTTACGAAGCATCCGTCATTTAGAAGCAATGAATGACATGCAGAGATACTAGAAGTAAAAATGCATTGTTAAAACAATTACAAAACTAACAGAGAACTGAATAGATGATAGCTAAATTAAAGTAAAACTATTTTAGCGATTCATGCCTATGGGCATGCTGACCATCCTTCTGCCTACATAATATATTTTTTAACTGACGATGGGAGACTTGTGAGGCGAGGAATTAGATGCAAAGATGTCGGTTTGAACTAGAAAGTGATTAGTGCCCAGTTTTGAAACAGAAAGCTAATAAAATACGTCCTGAAGAAAAAAAAAAAAATTTATAGACACTATTCACACTCCATCGTCTTTAACATTAGTAATAAAGTTTAAAATTGTGAAACGGACTACCAGATTCCTAATTTAGCATAACACCATTTTAGCAGAACAGCGTTATAAAATTTTCGTCATCACTTCTTCAACAATTACTCACCACTTACAAAACCAGCTTTCCTGCAACATATTTCGATTTACATCTTAAACGGTAAGGTTAATGCAAGAAATAACTAAGCTAATCATAATCGCTAGGCATATATTGCAATAAATTATAGTTTCTCCGCGCTTCCTTCTAAACTCACCATCAGTTACCAACTGAACAGAAAATGTAAATAAGCAAAGAAATGAGGAAATAGAAAATATTACAACTGATCGGTCCAGCTATATGTAGTAAAGAGCGAAAAATTTGCAACTGTATTTGTTTTCGGAGAATTCGGTGTCTGAACCGGTAACAAGAAATCATGCTGATCATAATAACTTCTATATATTTGCGGTTCTGACACAGAACGCTTTAGTCGTGGAAGACCTGCTGAGGCTCGCTCAAGATAAATGAGAACCTGGAAAAATTAAATCTGATAGAAGCATTTTTGCAAGAATTTCCATATAATTACATCTTAACTGTGAAATTAAATAAAGATCAACCTGTTCAAATTCCGGACGCTCGTCTCGACAAAACTTAATGCATTTTTCAAGCGATGTTAACAACCCCTTAGGTGTGTCATGCCGTACTTTAGTCAAATCTGGCTTCAAATAACCGCGTCCAACCATGAACAAAATCTGAATTTTTGAAAATATAAACATATTTCAAACTATGACAACAACAGACATTGAAGTGTTTAAAGAAGCACACCTGATCTCTGCTATTGATATGTGAATAGGGTAAAACTCCTGACAACAATTCGAATAAACAAATGCCAAATGAGTATACATCAGAAAGAGTTGTGTATGGGTTTGCATCCTGCATTCTTATCACTTCCGGCGCCTAAACCCTTTCATGTCTAATTGCATTATTACTTTGAACACCGTGCAGGCACATGAATATTCATACTATTTTACAAGTAAAACAATAAAATTAAACGATAAATTATACCATCCAAAGGATACTTCCAGTTGGCTGCTGATTTTGTTGTCCACCACTCCATCGTGTCTTCACAGTGGCCAAACCAAAATCACCAATTTTAACTGTACCATCATCAGTTAAGAAAATGTTGTTCGTTTTAAGATCTCTTAAATTAAAAAGAAAGAAAAATCACGACAGTTCAAAAACAACGATCCCATCAGATTTACTGGTATATTAGCGAGCTACAGAAACACTTAAAACACTTTAAAAGCGATTTTAAACGAATATTTTTTCGATACGAGATGCTGGAAAAGCCGAAAGCAGAAAGACCGAAGTAACCATTACAGAAACCGACATGGCTTAAAAAGTGATATACTTTAGTAACCAACTCAAACACTTCAAGTATTTGAGAAGAGGAAATTTTAAACAGTGATCGGAGATAACTCTCGAACTAACTGTAAGTTACTGGAACCGAAAACATCGCCCAAAGGTCCGCGAACTTGGTCGAAATAAATATAACTAAAGACTTTTACGAAATATGAAAATATACAGAATTATCAGCTAAGACACACAAGAAAGATGAGAAATTAATAATAACCTATGAATGATATGACGAGAGTGTAAATAATTCATTCCCTGAGCGATTTGCTTGCAAATATCAATAACTGACGATATTTCGAAGTCTACTCGAGGTTCATTCACGTGTATTTGTCTGTATAAAGAAGACCCTTCACACCACTGAAATTGCCATTGCTAATGAAAATCAAGCAGAAAAAAGAACAGAGAAGATGAAACTTGGGGTCCATTCATTACCTGAGTGACAATTGCAAGGTCTGGTTCACGCAACCAACCCATGAAAAGCAAAACATTTGCATGTCTAGTTTTCTTCAATACACCAACTTCATTTTTGAAGGCTTGAAGCTGAGCAGGACTTGGTTCACCAACATTTAATTTTTTAATTGCCACTTTCCCTAAAGATTTTATTCAACAGAACATAGTATAACGTCTACAAATATATAACATATGTTAACTACATTTGGAAATTATTTCAAGTCCATGATTCTACGTTTTTCATTTCAACCCCTAATGATGATTACGGTATTTAGCAAAAGAGCCACTATTAAAAACAGTGAAACTGAAAAAATCAAATCAAAAATGATAAAACTACTTCAGTTAATAAACTTACCAAAATAACTGCCCAAATACACAGTACCAAAGGAACCACTACCAATTTTTTTGTAATATGTTACCAGGGCCCGATCGATTTCCCAACCTTCCATCAAAATTCGCTGTTTTAATTTTTCCTTGTAATCACCCTGAATCGGCAACATGTAAAACACAATTTCTAAGTTATCAGTTAAATCATTAGGTGACTGAAAAATTGTTTAGCTTACTTCATGAGATTCACCTAGCCGATCCGAAGAGACAGACGACCGACCGCCTGGTCCTTTAATCGGAATTTTGTCGTTTGGACCTGAAATAAAACAGGGAAGATTAAGCAAATGATATCGAATTATGCGCACTGAAAATAAAACAGCGAAAGAGAATTGCTAGATAAGACGTTAAACTGTGTTAACAAGAGTTGACTGAATATAACAGCGTCAAGTGAATTACAGAAGGCATACTTTTGCTGCGAAAACGAAAACCAAATGTCTTCTGAGGAGGTGCGGATTGTGGTGGTGTAGGGGGTAATCCTGAATTAGGATCATATGTGGCTCCAGAATAAGGAGGTGGAGGCGAAGAACTCGTAGAAGAAGGTGAAGTGGTGAAACATGGTGATACCATTCCTGCTAGAGTTGATGGGTGCAAACGATTTGGCCTTCGATTACTAGTCAATTGCCAGTCTCGAAGACCGGAAAAATTTATCGGTTTTGCTGTCCTTGCTGTTCCTATATAAACAGGTAGCAAATTATGTAAAATCAATTTGGCGTAATAGTAAAATGAATTGTTTCCCAATAATAATAAGTAAAAGAGCACATCAGATCATTTCAAAGACGTTACACCCATTTTAATAAATCAATGTATGACCACAAATTATTAGATGTGCGGAAATACCTGATGGTTGAATAAACACATGGACATTGTTGCTCAATGCGTCTAACACTTTCTGAAAATTAACGTGTACTGGAAAGAATGTTCTTGAAGTTTTTACTCTAAGCGAAACAATAAATATTTCATAATTCTGAGGTAAACCGTTTCACGTAGCGCTTCATCTTTTGTTATTTCATAAATATTGGGAGCTGATGACGAACGATCCCGGGATGATTCATTTATTCCAACTGTAATTTCGGGTCGACCTGGTAAACGAACAGCTTGCTGACGTGAAATACCCACACGATTCGGCAGAGGATCTGCAAACTATCACTGTAAACTAAAAAGCAATACAAAGTAGAATGCAGAATCATATCATGACTCTGTGTGATTCTGCGTTTCCATTATTTTTTAATGAATACTTGATAAGCACTGAAGGCGTAAGTAAATGTGATAAAAACATACCAAACGAAATTACTTTAGAAATAGAAACAACAAAAAATAAACAGAAAAGTAAAGCAAACCTGCAGTAGGACTTTGGAAGTGTTGAATAATTTCAGCAACAAGTGCCGCGTTCGGACCTTCATACTGATCACATATATCTCGTAATTTATTTGCCATTCGAACATCATGCGAAATTTGCTGCATACGATCACAATAATTTGGAACTTTAGAACCACATTTCTGATGGAACGTGAACTGGCACAACTCACATCGATATCCCTAAACGTACTGCTGGAAATTGGAAATAATCTGGATAAATACTATGTTTCGAATATAGCTGCAAGGTACCACACTTTAAAATCTTTTCGCAAAAAATATCTTTTTGTATGACTATGAGTAGACATAAGCTTTATTTCTGCTATGTCATAAATGAGAAAAAAGGTGATTTTAATTTGTAAGGACTTCATTTCCCAGCGATGATTTGAGTATTTAGCTCATTAAGTTGAAGTACACAAATAAGCTTTCCCATATGTACACCATAGCATACTAAAAGCGAAGAAACACTTCGCATTTCAAATTATATCATCTTCATTGTACAGCTGCTAATGACGCAAATGAAGGAAGATAAAACATCTTAAAAAATTAAAATTTAGTTTAGTGTTAAATCTGAATAACCACAACCCGAGAAAACAGGAATTTGAACTTAGTTTTACTGAAATTGATACAATAAAAATGATCAGATCATTTAGAAAACCGACTTGTAGCCATATTTGTTTGTGACAAACGTCACAGAATGCTACTGATAAAAAAGTTTTCCGCACAAAACTGTGTTTGATAGATACCAATATAGAGAGATATGCACTGTGCACCCAAAGCTCTTTCTTTTCCAAAGTCTAAAATATGTGTCGAAAATACATAGAAAGAGAACCTACAATACTATACATTTGGAGAATTAATAAAATAAATTGAAAATGAATATACTGAAGGCTGGAACTTCAGAAAATATAATGAAATATTATTCATAGTCTACTTTACATTGGATAATGTTTCTAAATCCATGCTAAGGTCGATACGTGGACTAGAAGGGTCACCGCCAACACACACTCTGCACATCTGAGGCAATATTGCTCGTTTCTCCAAAATTTTAGCAATAGCATCCCGTGCAAGAATCCCAGGTTTCACTTCTACCTGCAAAATAACAGTTTGGATGAATACCCATGTAAATCAGGAAAATTAAAAACATTCCATTCGAAGTGAAACAGAATACAAACTTTTGAGTGCTGGTTGAAAGGAAGATGAAGAAGAATTAGAGAGTCGCTTAGCCGTTTAGGGGAAGTACATGGTGAAGGGCTGCCACCACCTCGGCTACTATAAACATCCTGTAAATGGTAACATGCACGTTATTTAACATCAAAACGTGGATTTATGGAATCCGCTTCTTTTATAAATAAATGTAGAGAAACTGGATTTGGCAGATGGCTAGATAAACCAAGAGCAAACAATAAAGCACTCAAGGTAGAGCAATGCTTACAGGTGATGATGGACTAACAAGCGGCGACAAAGACTGCGAAATTTGATATCCTGAGCACCCTTCCGCAACGTCGCCTACCGAAGACATTTTTATCAAACCATCTGAAACACATACAAAGTTGTAAAAACCTTTCACTGACCTTATAACAAATATGAATGAGGACAAAATGGGAGTGCAAAATGAACACAATACATCGCAAACCTGCCTACCATCAGCCATCAGTTATTCCAGATATTTTTTATTCGCACCACTGCCCCAAACCCTTCGCATCAAATTTGATCAGATACTTTTTTAATCATCACTATCTCGACGATAAAATTTTAAATTAGCCAAAATTCAAATCTGCCTTCAAATTTACGCTATCACTTTAGCACCACCTTGCTTCTATCGTTACAGAATGTAATTCTTTTCTATCATTTCAAGAAGAGATTTTTATAATTCTCAAGATGTACCATTTTCTTCTGAACTTGTCCTGAAATGTTATTAAAACCTACTGGAGTAATTGCCGAATATCATAACCAGTCAGTGATTTTCGTTTATCAAACAAGTGTTAAACTAGCTTTAATTTTAGGGCACTTAGAAATCACCATATGCTGAAGTCAACTGCAGTTAAATCAAAAATTCTAAACTCTTTAATTGCTTTGCTTTTATTACCTCATTCAAAATACAAAGTATTTTGCATACCAGATTGTGTTCGTCTCCAGTAACTGAGCATATACACTCCCTAAGATGCATTCTGTTAACAATTGCCAATGACCACAATAGGAACTACAGCACAAACAGTAGTTCTAAGTTCCATTAAAAAGAATCAATCGAATGGTCATCCACGTTTTCTTCATACTGACTATATGTATTGTACAGTTCATAATAGATTCATTCAAGACTCAATAGTACACTCAACGAGAGACGCACAATATAAAATATTGAGACAACAACATCACCTCATTTCGGCGTACAATTAGCTCATCCCATTATCGTAAGCACCTAATATGGGTGAAACCAGTTCGCACTGAACAAATATGAAAGAAGTCTGCACCACCCGTCAGGTGCTCACTATGAAATCAGCAAAATCCGACTACTTACTGCTACAAACATTTCACCCACGGAGACTAGTCTAACAAGTGTACAAAAATGTAGTATGGATGGATCCAAAAATAGACCAATGAGAGCCAACAAGCGGCACTAGACTGACTAGTTTTATTTCATTTTAAAGTAAACATACAACACAACATCTGAAAAATGAATACACCGTTACTTCTTTGTGAACGTATACATCCTGGAAAAGAAAACATTACAGTTGTGGGTTATGGAAGAAAATGACCTTACCAAACTAAATTATGTTACTGATAAGGCGCAAGAATGTGGAAGAAGTTGAATATTACACTAGATTAACAATGAAAAGCAGAAATATACATTACATGAGCGCCATTTCAATCTGGTGATGGTGATATCATATTAGTTAAATTCCAATATGGACACAATATTTAATAAAAAAAAGGTAACATGATGTTCTACCATGGCCTTACTAGACGTGACGTTTTTACCTTCAAAAACATAAAGCTGTATGTTAATGTAAAAATTACGAACAAGCCTACAAATTGTGCTGGTACTAAAAAAACACGTGAGATTCTAAAGCTATTATATTGTAAATATCCACTGAAGCTAAATAACAAAGAACGGATTAACATTTCAAGTGTAATGTGACGAAGAAAGTCCTGAAATGCTATTCGAAAACCACGTTCAATCGCACTTGAATCGGATTTATTTCAGGATCTATAATGTATAAGAGCCAAAACTCCCAATTTCGTAATGTCAACGGTCCAACAAGTAGTTGTGATAATTTGAACACCGCTTTCACTTCGACTGAATAAAACAGCGACAAATTTACAAGGCTTTGAGAGGAGATGAAGTATCCATAACTTGCGATTGACTGATTGGCATATTGCAACGAAAATTCGATTCACTGTTGTGATCGAATTCTGAACCTTTCAGTTCTACTCTCATTTTTGACAAGTCACCACTGCAAGAAGTTCATTAACGTTATATAAAGTGAACAAGTTTACTTGACTCTCAGCTTGATATCATGCACCAGCTGCCAACTCACAACTAAAAAATACAGAGAGAAAGAGACATAGATATTTACGTTGAACATTATTCATGCTGAGTGAAGCTTATGTAGGCAGACCAAACTCCTCACAAATCAATAATGCATTTTAAATAATCCCTTCTTACTGTAAACCACATACAGAACTATGATATATAAAAGAAAGTTGAAAGAACTATTATTCACTTGTTTTGCTTCTCGAGTAAAATAAAAGAAACTGATTACCTACTCGGCGAAATGTCTCTGAATTTCAAATCGTCGGTAAACCCAGTATCAACATCAGATTCGGATTTTTCGTTCGCTCGATCATCAGTTGTAGAAACATCTGCTAAAAATAGAACAAGTTCAACAAAATATATTAGTGAAAATTTTTGACTAAAGTCCGTTTTAAAACACTTGAAAAGCAATTAAAACCCAAAGCTCACATCCAACTGTTCTCATTTTCGGAATGGAGATACACTTCTTCATATCATCTGAAAAATATCGCGCGAGACGGCGGAAGTATCTAGAAAACACACGTTCAAATTTCGGACTTTCAATATGAATTATAAGAAATACGAAGGTCACAAAACTACAATGAGCCGAACAAACTTTTTTTGCTGATGCAAAATTAATTTGGTTGGCACACGACTTCGTTTTAGCTCGCCATCCCACTGAAGATCAACAAGGCCACCACGCATAGCTATTTCCTTTTTCACGCGATTAGCGAAATCAATAGCATTTTCATTGGGCTGAAAAAGTTTTGATGACTGAGAACAAAAATTCATCATATTAATTAAACATTAACTACGTTATAACTACAAGAAAAAAAATCTTTCTACAACAGCACCATACAGCATCAAGCGATTTTAAGCTGATGGATTTTTAATATATAAAAATTTGCTAACTCGCCGAAATATATTCCTAAGACAGAAAAACTCCTTTTCCTGTTTTGTATCTTATTTCTTCGTAAAATTAATATGATTTGCTTTATATGCAGGATTAAAAAAAAAAAAAAAATTTGCCAGTATAAGTCATTTTATCTTTTTGATTGCATGATAGGAAAAATACTTACAAATTTCTTCATAGGTTCTAGATACCAAACATCACATATAATAGCCCACGACGTAAACATACGAAAGCAATTTTCAAACCATCCATGTTGACTGCTATTCCAAAATGGATCACCAAAACGAGAATCGTATTTCATTGCAATTGGATAGATTGTTGTCCCAACCTTAACTGTTAACGTGTTAATATGATAAATGCAGTAATTAGCGCAAAACACGCAACATATATAGCACACCTCAAATGATCCTTTCTTGAACATCATCACTGACGTATTATTGATGCAAGTGCCTTCAGGAAAAATCAAAATTGGAAGTAAATTCTTATTGTCGACATGTTCTCTCAATCTAGAATTAAAAAGTGTTCAGCAGCGCGAATACGATTAGCTACTTAAAAGTCCTAAAATTTTTTTCTCAAACTGTTATATTTTTTTGTAACCATAATTTGTTCATGAACTTATTTTACACGTAATGTATTGGTTTAGCTGTTTAGCCCAAAAAGATCATGAAAAATCTTTAAATAGTTTACTTTTCTGCAACAAACGAACGATCTCGAGCTTCACCACGTTCAAACCATATGTGAGAACTTGCTCTACTAAGGGCGCGCTGCAAAATTCCAAGACAACCACTATGACGTTGTCCAACTAAATCATATGCACAGTCCGTACTAAGTATCATTACATCTATCGGTGATGTATGGTTTGCAACACAGATTCCTTAAAAAAACTTGGCAATCATAAACAGGAAATTATATAGATAATAACCTAATTAACGTAAGAATACTTACCCCCATTTCGAGCCCGATTTTCACGATTATTGAACGTGATGACGGCAGACACACAACTGGATAATATCTGATGGCCACATAACATACAACGCTCATTGAACCATCGTTTTTGGGATCCCTCTGGCAATAACCCAATCACAGCTGTACTAACAACCATGAAGCTAACACCAGTGAGTAACAGAACCAAACGCATCGGAAGTAACACTGTATATCGAAACAAAAAACCTAGCGCCCAAATAACCGACAATTTCCAACTGCAAAAAACGTGATAAGAATATGTTAATTTCAGTTAAACCAAATAAGGTTAACGAAAACTCCAAAATGTACTTGATAAACTGATTGAAAGATAAACTAGTTCGTGTAAGCATGTTCCACGAGACGAGCTGTTCAGCTTCAAACCGACTAGTTACATCATCCTGAATAACCGCCTCAATGCCTGCCTGAAATTATTAAGTTTAGAGAAAAAAATAATAGACATTCTGGACCAAGTGAATCCACTCACTTGGTCCAGAATGTCTAAAGGAAGATATCATTATATATCTTTACCAAACGAGTTCATAAGCAAAAACAAACACTTCTTCTATAGAATAGTAAACTAATTTTCCGTACAATCGGTTTCAGTACAAGAACTGTTTGCCATAAAAGCACGAATTGAAGAATCCTTTAAACTAAAATAATACCTAATTGCTCATTCCTATGATACTTTCTATCTGCTGTGATACTTGGTTCAAAAAGACCTTGACAAGATGCATAGTATCGCGTACAACAGCCCAACCCCGAATATTCGTAACTTGTTGTCCACTTTCATCATCAAAATGCACCGATGTCTCTCGAAATATTATCCCTGAAGAAATATCTCTAAACTGTCTTTAAAGTTGTGACAGTAACGAATCTTAAAGAAAAACTTCAAAAATATCCACTCACTTGGTCCAGAATGTCTTCTTTTGCAACCTTTTATTATTTTCTCACCAATAAAGTCATCATCGGAAGTAGTTAAATGTTCTAGTTCCAGATCTGAATTGTCCATATCGCCACTGTCATCTTCTTCCATGCACAAAGTTAGTGAACTCTGACTTTTCTCCTTAGCTGATAAGTGTATTTGTCGAGCGCTCCACTGTAAACTATTTCCCATTTTTAATGGGTGAGTATTAGAGCATAAACACTATGATTCTTCTGTTCAAATAGCATTTTTTATCCTGTTAGAATAAAAATATTACCTCAAAAATCTTGAGCAAACAGCTAACATAGTAATGGTTAAAACCAACAGATTGGCCAAATAAAGAAAGAGTTACAACCATTAGGACGATTAATAAAACAGTGGGAAGGAATACAGTACAAAAGAAAACAAATAAATATTCTGCTGTGAAATCTATCATCGCGCTCGGAATTTCCCTGTTAAATAGCGGAAGTGGAACTGAATATAAAATGAATATTAGCATCCATATTAAGATGGAAAAAAGTATGAAAATATAATGCCATCACAAGCTTTTAATATTATAGATACATTCCGCGCCTTTTTACAAACATACTGAAATGAACCAATCAACTATGAAATAATTAACGCATAATTGCAAAATCAGCAGTAAGCTAATAAAGCAGCAAGAATCGAAATTTGACACGCGAAATTACCGATGTGGAAACTGCAATTTAAATAATTTAGATATTTTCTAACAAATGATGGACGAATCGTTCGACTTACAAAATACCGACTTAATGGCTATCAAGGGGCAGCTTCCTTATTCCCATAAATGTATTATATGGAATGTAAAGTGAATGTGAATTTCTAATTGACTGCCAACTTATAAGTTGATTTCTTCTAATTAATGAAATAGTTACCCGAACAGCAATAAGTCCGTGCTGCACTTCAACATACCACTACTAATTCAACCTGAGAGAATGGTATTACAAACTATCACCACATGTCTCCGTTACAGTGAGCCTAACTTCGATAACATTCATCAACGTCACTCCCAACTCATTCCATAATTGTCACATTTGTCTTCAATTACTGCATCACCGCAGCGAGTAGCACTTCGTTAGGCATTTGGTCTTGCCATTTTTCCAAGTTATGAAACGTCTTTAGCTTTTATTTCATCACGTTTTTTCGGCAACTCTTAAATACTAGGGTTCCCTAACTGCATGAATTTTCTCGCAGTAGAGCGGCACATATCAAGTATTCATTGAAATAAACGTTTTCCCAAAGCTGTTACATACTAACCAAATACGGTATTTGGAAGTGCATAAACCACCACTGCAGAGCAACGGACACTGTCAATTATTTCAGTTCATCTTTTTTATTACTGAATAGAACAATGAAATGAGTGGAATTACTATTAAAATGAGAAATAACAAAAAGATGTCCAGGTATGTATGTGCGCCTGACCAACTGAACTACAATATAATTCCGGAAAGAGCAATCCAAAGATTAACTACACATCAAGATAAACATTTAAAAGACCTGTGAAACAGAAAAACGAACAAATGGCCTGAAAAACAGTTCATTTTTGTAGATAATTACATGAAAAATAAATGCTATACTGCTTACAATTAGGAATTAACATCAATTCCCAAAACACCAAAAATATAAATTTACACAATTATGTATCAAAATATTAAAATTGAGAATGTTTGCAGAATGATAGATGTAAAATTGGTCAAAGTGAAATTAGAAAGCAAGTTATACTGGTACAATTAAGTGAATTATTAATAGGTAAGGCAAAAACAGAAAAAAATTCGAATCAAATAATCTATTCGTAATATTTATGTTCCAATACTTCGTATATAAAAGGAAAAAATAATTCTGAAAGGCAACAATGAAGTTACTGCATATTTCCGCAAAAGATTGACTGTTAATGACACACCTTTAAGATTTTCACAAGAAACTAACAGTAACGTAGTAACGGTCCAGAAAGTCACATAATATGATCCCTCTATGTCCAAACAAAATGTTAAACCAAGTAGTTATATAACAATAACTGCATATATAACATTAAGAAAAGGTTAATGAGGGAAAATGCTAATTTAATTACAATAATCAATAACAAAATAAGAATCGAATCTTGAGCTCTGTACGGTAAATTAATGCTTTCAAAAATTTAAAGTATTGAGTAGCTATGAAATGAGAAAAAAGATAATAAAACATGTGGAGAATTTACAAATAAAATTTCCCCGAAAAAAAAAAAAAAAAAACGAAAACAGAATCAATAATAAATTACTTGAAAATAATTCAGTATGAAAAAAGAATGTCCTCACAATAAAATGAATGAAACAAAAGATGAGCAACATAGCTATTTTGAAGGCACTATAACTATTTTCAATTCTGATTTTGAATAGGAGAAGCAAACCTAGCCAAATAATAATATATCTAGTAGAAAAAATAGTTACAGTCTACACTAATGTTTGAAAAGCTTACTTAAAAAGAGATTCAACAACAAATTCAAACCATCTGTACAACGGAAATCGTCGAACAGAAATAACACCACTTTTAAAGAGAAAACTAAATATCTGAATTAAAAAACAAGACTGCAAAATCCACAAGACTATAATCAGTAGTGATCTTTTATCAGACCAATCACCATGTGAATGAGTAATGATAACAGTGGAAATCAGCTATGATCTAATGCCAACAAATGGAATATCAAATGAAATTTTAAATACGTTATTTTTCCCAATAGTGTGAATTAAATCGACACGAATTTTCCAGAGCTATACGAATCAAAAAACCGAAAACGAGACGTCTACATTTGCAAAAATCAGAAATAGATAAAGTTACTCTTACTTCACTTATCAAAAATAATGCTTTTTTCGTTCCGTCATCCAAAAACGGGAAAATGATATGCAGGTTCAAAGAAAGCTGTGAATTATTTTTACTCTACTAATAATCTCCACCATTTCAAATTCATGATATTACTGTTCACCAACAACGGGAAGATGATGTTTAAGTTCCAAAAAAAGTAGAGATTTATTTTTTACTCTACTGATAACTTCGATCCTTTCTTGATGTAATTGTCTTCCTGCTGCTGATTTTCAGCACGTATTCGCCTTCTTGTCTCCGTAACATCGACCAATTTATCTAAGCATCCAACCGCGCCAAAATAACCCTATATATTGGACACTAATAATGAATTTAAAAGAAAAATATTTTACTGATAAGAGATGCCTAAAAAAAATACTGTAAAACGAGTATCCATTAATCAAGTAATCTTACCTCATGTATCAAAAATAGTGCTTTTTTCGTTCCCTTTGACCAAAAATTCATAGCATTACTCAACAGTCTTGCAGCAATAGGATTTACTCTCAGAAAATTTCCTGGAATGCTATTTATAAATGAAAATGCGGTGGTGATTAAGAAAGACATAATCAAAATTAAGACTATTAAATTACTATCATACATAACATTCAATATCTTTCATTAAAAAAAATTACCAACAAAAACAATCCGGTCAATTCCGCAAGTATTCGCTCCATTAAATGCAATTGAACCAATATTGTTTGTTGTAGTCACCAGTGCCGAACGCGCAAGGTCTTCAATACGTGCTTTATCGCGATCCATCTTGTTATATATTTTCCCAAAGCTATAATTAAGTAAAATAAAACAGACAGAAAATGACGGCACTTCTAGAAAGGTATGCAAGAATTACCTGGCGGCAATAACATCTCCTGGAAGTCCCATTTGATCATAACCTGAGCCATAAATATCTTTCACAAGCTTATCAACGTTCTTATTGTCTCCTCGTGATGCTAACTCAATCGCCTCTTCAAACGTTTCACATCCACACATAATTGCGCATATACCTTGAAAGAAACCTCCTCCAATGCTGAAATCATTCGTCCAGTAATTGAGCAAATATATAAATTCGAGAGCTATTATGTAATGGTAAAAATTACTACCTACTGCCTCCAATCCGCTTAAATTGATTGTGGCCACGTACAGCTAACACAGACACACCACTACCAATATTGCAAACAATGTATGGGTACTGCAAGCCATCCTTCTTGTCACTTTCAGGAACAGAATCGGATGTCGAGCAACGACCGTGTGACCACCGCCTGCAAATTCCAAGGTCTTAGAGAATCATGTAAAAATTAAATCAAAAAACGATTAATGATCATAAATAACATACCAAATTACTTTTCTACACAAAATATCATTCAACGGATTTTCGTAATAATAGCATTCGTCAGGATTTGTTGCAGCAATAAATTCAATACCCTTAATCAACGATTCCAGTTCATCAGTTTTGTGCAACTGCAAACCCAAATCCTAAAAGAATAACTTTATCCTTCTCTGATAAAAACAACTGCTAATGAAGATTTTTAATATTACTTAATTATGACGAACTTTAATAACATAGTAGAAGCGAAACAAATTTTCTATTCAACTGATTTTAAATGAGCTTGTTTTTTAATGAATTCCACTGATACAAAAAAAAAAAGGAAAAAAAAGACAAACCGCCGCTTCCTTGGCATATTTTAAAGAGCCGCCCCCAGTAGCACATACTGTACTGCTCATTTCGGCGAACCCCTTCCTCTTAACCAAATTTACAAAATCAAGCATTCTATCTGTTGGAAATCGAATAAAATGTATAGTACCAACTCTGCCCTTAACAAAGTAGCATTAAAAAATAAAAAGTGGAGTTAAATGCACGTATTTAAATGTCTGCTACCACATTCTCAACACAGCAACCTGAAATAATTTAAGCACCAACCATGTTTCCTAAAATTTCTTTACTAAACTTATTCTGCTATGAAGATTTTGAAACTTCTCATTCTAACATTATTAAGGTAGGAAAATAAACGATAAAAAAATTCTAATAATAACTGGAACCAACATTGATTCCGACATTACAGAGACGTAGGTGATCATCCCTTACACCAGTACCACCATAGGCTTTGCCTGTTACAAGATAACGTTGAATTTTCCTACGTCGTAAGATTTCTTCTTCACTTTCAATAAAATCATTCTGTAATACAATGATGAGTTATAGTAGTGCAAACGCTGATATTAACAAAAACTAGCTCTGAAAAATACTGATTGCGATGTTTCACGATTCTACATAATTTCTGAATCGTCCAAAACTTGCATGATCTTCCGGTTCGAAGTAGACAAGTTTTACCAATGTGCCTCCTATA